CCCTCTAGGAACATTGAATTAAATGCCTTGCATTTGGGCATGCTTTTAGGGACTCTCTTTGAATCTTATGAATGTATCCAAAAAAATTAATCCTACTTAAAGTCATACAGTGATTAGTGCGTTGGCTAATGTCCTGACGCCACTATTGCCTTCTTCTGAGACGTATCCTGAGCAAATATACCTAGGGAGGTTTTCTATTACTTTCCTTAGGGCAATAATGTGAAAATTTTGACGTTTGATTTGAATACCATATAGCGCAGGCCAATACAAAATATCTGCAATCTTAACCATTAATTCAAATAGAAATTCTTATAATGCTAAATTGATAGAGAATTTAATTTTGCCAGGGTTGGCTAAAAGTCGGGTGTAGACTAACGAAGTTCTTTTGCATAGTTATTAATTTAAAATTTGCTCTTGTAACAAGAATTAAAACACTTTTATTTGTTCCTTGTTTCCGATAAAGATTGTTTCTTTTTTGTGAAAACATTAATTTATTGTTTTATTGAGGATCACAAATGTTATGTAACTAATTGCGGAGGGATGTTGATTGTACAGTGAAAAGTTGACATGTGTCTTGTTAGGTTTGACTTGTATTTTACCTGTACCAGTATTTTCGTTATCACCAGTGATTCGGTGAGACTCAATTCAGCGATTGCAGTCACGTAGCTTTCTCAAGTGTAAAAATCTTTTTTCATATTTTTGTGCCTATCACGAAAAGCTTCAATAATATTGAATACATCTTTATTGAACATTTTTCGACATCAATTGCATTGTTTTTATTTTTATTTGATATTAGGTTAGTACTTTAATAATTACCGTTATACACCTTTAAACAAATAAATATGTTTAGTTAACCACTGTCCCTTTTAGAATGGAAATACAAGGATGTGGAAGATAGTGGGGTTTAAGATGTGAGTTCTCGCACGGTATGCGGAGGTAGTAAAGGAACACATGTGCTATGGCACAACACAAAGAACAAACTTTTTAAATTAACTTAAGTATTATAGCGTGAATAAATGAACAACAAAAATAAAAACTAAGAGTACAAGACTACGTGAATTAATTTAAAAAGCAACCAAATTGAAAGTTGTAGAAAGAATAGCGCAAGTCATTCGACAGCTGTCAACAATTTCAATCCAAACGCACGATTTAAATGAAAGTCAATGCCCAGCAACTTTACCATGTACCGATGTGATGTCTAAGCGCTTTGAATTGTTTCTAATGGTAACAAATGGTATTTATAACTGAAAGGGGAAAATATGAGTTTTATTATTTTTTAGCTCGAAAATGTTGTTCATGAGGTACGTAAGATCGCAGAAAATAATCTAATGCTTTTTAGTATACAAATAATTTTTTAATTGTCGCACCTCAGCAAACTGACACCCTACCCCTCTAAAAACTCCCTCTGTTACTCATTAAAAATCAAGGAAAGTTAAATAATATTGCAAAGTGTAGGGTTGTACTTGCCAATCCTTTATTTTCGCACGGAAAATTTACATGACTTTCTCAAGAGAAAAACCTTTCTTAATATTTTTGTGACTATCAAGAAAATCAAGAAGCTAAGTGTCAAGGAAGATTGAATATCTACTTCAAATGTTTTTAAGGAAGTGTGAATTGTTCGCAGAACATTTGACTATAATACTGAATCCACCTCGATTGAAAATTTGTTTTCAACCTCAATTGCATTGTTTTTATTTTTGTTTGATATTCGAAGTAAGGTAAATACGAAGTTATGTTTAGGCACTTTTGAACAAATAAACACGTTTCATTAACAACTTTCCTTCTTAATAGAGACAATAGAGAAATGTATTGGAAAGGATGGGGCATGCGAAGGTTCCCGCACGGGAACGCTTGTGGATTATACTGCTAATGATTTGTTTCTTGATAAATCATAAAGATGCTTAGTATTTTAGAAGATTGTGTTTATTAAGACATTTTTGGTTACATAATGGTTATTCAGCATTTTAGGCTAAATATCAAGGAATTGTGTATTGAGTAAATGGTTCTCTCATTTTTAGGAGTTCAATTGTAGAAATATAAATGGGAAATGAAAGGTGGATTTATTTAAATATTAGAAGTCTGCTGTTTCTAGGACTAGAAAAGGAAAACAAAATAAAATTAGAAAATTTCTGTGAAATTTATTTACCTTACATCTCGTTTCATGGCATACAGTGTTTATACAATCACGTAAATATCACATAACGAGCAATTAGTTAGGAAATGCAGTTCAAGTTACAATTTTAATGACTCACATTTTGCATTAGATCGTTTTATTTACATTTGTGCTCACCTTAAATTCATTACTAAGAACAAACGAGGTTTCCTTTTAGACACTTGCATATTAACTTGCCTGTGTTTCTGTAGTTCAAGACGAGCGCCAATTCACAAACATACGGTTGTGTCATGAGTTAGCTCTCGGTCAGAACTCAGAAATCAAATACTTGGTGGTGGAGTTCAATTCTATTATACAGTGATATTCAAACAACATGTCATTGTCCGAGGTTACGTGAATTATGTCCATTTTGTGAATGAAGAGGTACATAGATTGCTACCGGTTCACAATTCCTACATTTCACTTCAACTTTCTTTTGTGAGCAGATCCTCGATCATGTAAAGATTAGGCCATTCGGCCTAGCTGACGAGACGACAATGAAGTCAATATTGAATTCTTGGCTGTCCGAGACACGCCGATGTCTTTCTTCTGAAGGTCGCAATATCATAACCAATATGTTTTCAATTCTCTGCCTCTTAGGTTGTGCGTCTTTCAAATAGCCAAGAGTCCACATACTTGAGGCGAGGAAGCCGTTGGAATGTGCGCCAAATAAATTTAGGTGGTTGACAGTTCGTGGTCGTGTGACAATGCTGCTGCCATAATCCGAACAACTGCGAATCACAAACTTCGGCAGTCTTACAGTGCCGTTACCTCAAATTATGAAACAAATAAATCACTCATCTCGAATGTAATATTTAATCAAGCCAAGTGTCATTACATTCCTCGTAAGTTACATTAATAGATTTAAAATTCGAAGATGTTTGGGAATACCGTGTTTGGGTAGGTTGTGTTCTGTTTGTTACGATGAGTAATGGGTTATCAAGGCAATTTGTAGCGTGAAAGCCGTATCGTAACGTGTAGAGAATGCATGCCGTCCTTCTCCACACTCAACTGTCAACCATCTAATTTTAATCGAATCTTACAAACTCAATCACACAATTAAAATGTCAAAAACATCAATTATAATTATTACCTTTTAAGATATATTTCGAGTTATTTATTTCATTAGAAAATTTACTTTATTATTTCGTATTTATTCTTTTGTTATCTAATCTCTTTAATTTAATTACTGAATTATTATAATACTTTTAATGTATTATTTTAATGTAATTATAGTCATCTGCGATGAAAGGGATTAATTTAAATTAAATGATTCTAGGGTAAATATGAGTAATATTGGTTTATTATAATGTTGGTTATTTAAATAATTCATCATAAAAATCAGACCAAAATTATTTTTAAAGCTATTAAATGTTAATTTAGATTCTTTATGTGGTTTTGTTTACATTTTTCGACAAAAATATTTCGACGAGGGTGTTTGTGTTAGAACTATATGCAGTAGATATTATGATTTTCTAAATACGAAACGCTAGTCTCCAAAATAACTTCTCGGTGGGTTGTAAGGGTTATTTCCTTCATAACTTTGCTGAAATTATTAATCCTTTAACACTGTTGATTTTCCTTGAGTATTTCAATAAGAAGAAAATGTGTAAGAAAGGGTGACCACATTGTACTTTATTAATTGTCTATTCCGATTTTGTCAAAATCCATTCTATTGTTAGCAACTAAATATTTATTTTGGACACTTTTGTATGTATCTAAAAGATACCACATGGAATGAACACGATTATTTTTTCTTTTTTATACAATGGGACAGGAAACGAAATTTTGAATGTGCAATGATTTATGATTGTTGAAATATTATATGTAAAATGATTTTCGAGATGCAAATGATAAATTAGTCACGTGTGTTTACCGTTAGTAGATTTTTGATTTAAATATCAAAACATAGTATTTCTCTTAAGAAAATACCTTTCTAGAGTAAATGAATGTTCGTTGATAAATTCATAGACAATAAACTTTTGTTTGGGCGATTTTAAAGGAAAGAATTAATATGAAAAAACTAAACACGATCTGAAAAGCGTTGGTGTGGATACTGGGCTGATCAATGGGTTGAAGGAAATCGAAGGATAAAATGCGAAGAAGTGGTAGGTAAAGTGTAGAGAACACATAAATAGGAATCATTAGAGTGAGTAAAAGGATCTTAAAGACGCACTGAATATTTCTTTAAGTCACCGACACATTGGCACGTTAATATGTGTAATTCATGCCAATAATTCCTTGGCGTATTAAAAGGTCAAGGTTTCTACTTCCATTATTGAGTCTGAATCACGTAATAGCCCTTCTAGTAAAATATGTATTTATTACTTATCATATAATCCCCTTATTCTATTATTCATACTGTATCACCAATTATGATACCTTTGATTTATTTCACTTAGAATAAACGCATTCGTATTACAAAACATATTTTCATTTGCAAACACAATATACAATTCTCAAGGCACATACGATTATAAATTTGAAAAGGTTCTATGTACACATCAACACCGCAATCCAAAACATTGCCATAACAGGAAAGAATCGACTCTCTTGGTTTCCGCGCGAAGAAAGAGCTGGTTCTGCGATCCCTGGGTTTTTGAACTCAGTTTGTGAGAACCAACGAATAGTGAACTCGGGGAAAGCACTGGTTACCGACTGAAGCCTTAGAAAGAGAAAATTACATTCAGCACAAAGAGACCCAGACCTATAATTATTGAGTGAAACTATTTTTTATTTTACGTTTTTACGTACCTGAGTATTACAATGTTCAAATTCCAGGGCAAGGCGATTTTCCGTTTGTGATCCTCAGGGCAGAATATATGTAACGCATCGCCGAAGTTGTCTATTGTATTCTCATCGTATTTGTAAATAGTCATGTTCCATGCTGCGCATGATCCTGTGAATTATTATTTTTACTATGATTTAAACGATTTTATAAATAGAAAATAAATTAAAAGCGAAATATACGTCAAAAAAAGAATTTCGAACTTAATATTTTTTCACATACTGTTCTGTTCCGTTATCAATTCGATTGAGAGCTGTCGTTCAGTCTTCGAATCAAACAGCCAGACGCATTCTTGAAAGTAAAAATAATTAACATCTAGGGAGGAAGTGTCTACTTTTCCTGAGTGAATTTCTCCTGAAATGGGTAAAATGTTTAAATAAGCAAGAAGCATAATTTCTAATTCCATCCTGGAAGTAAGGAACTTATCGTTATAATAGGTTCAGTACATTTAATTTTACTTTACTCCCTCACATTCAATTTTCAAAATTACTCAGCTTTGAATATTTAAGGAAGTGTGATTCTCTTACAACTGAGCCATTTAGGGGACATATGTATCAGATAAAGATATTGCGAATTAAATTCCTAGCGCAATACTTTTAAACTTAATATAATCGAATTTATGAAAGATATTAATATTTTAATAACTTACCTGAAAGGTCCGAGATTACAGAATAACCGCATAATCCATCAGTTATGAAAGAATATTCCGCCGTATACTGAAACCCCTGCATCCAACTATAATTTGCCACAGAATACGCAATACGTAGAGGTGACCAGCTTCTAAGTCCAATGGGTAGCCACTCTCTCTGAAATAATTAAATATCAATGTACTTAATGTTATTACTTAAAAGAAAACCGATCTTAGTCTTTTGCATAAGTATTAGTAAAGGTGTGGTATAATATTTTCTGTACCTGAAGTTCACCACATATACACGAGACTGTTTTGCCCTCATCAGTGATAAAAGACAGATGGTCCATCTGTGAGATAGGACTTAATTTTGTAACACACTGGCAACCGGATTCACCACAAACGGTATGACAGTTTGGATCCATAAATAAACCAGTCAAAGCAGTAACCTAAAAGAATTCGAATAGCATGAACTAAGTAAGGTTCAAAACATACGAGTATAAACCTAAGTGATTAAAATGTGTGCATATGAATGTTAAACATAAATTACCGTGAACAAGATACTTTGGTTTACTGCGGGAACAAATCTTTGTAAACAGCGAAATGTTCCTTCGAGATTCCAGTACAGCTGGTGAGTCCCCGGGTTAGTAATGTGCCCTCTTAAAAGGCTGCTGGAGCCATAATAATCTACATCGCAGAGCGTATCTGGACGTAAAGTGCCGTCCATTTTTTCTGAAAATTCAAAGTTTTTAAAGAGCTTTCACGTGACATCGAAAATACCGACTAATATACAAGATATGAGGGTGTCAGCGCAATAGTGGCCTATCCCCAGATCCTGTGTTTGGAGAAAATGGCTGATGACGTTTTGCAAAATTAAACACTCATTTGTTAAGTTTTTTCATATTATGATATTATGTAGAATGACATTGACTTAACAATTTGTGGTGGATTACATCTTGTGTAAAACAGGCATCGCTATGCTTAGGGCGCACTTTGCCAAGAAATGTAATCGTAAGGTGAGTGCGAGAGTTCTTTGTAATTTATAACTTGAAAACTATCGACGCGAACATGCTGAAACTGTTACACGTTGAAGTTAGGGAGATTAAGATGTGATTAACACAGAGACCGTAATTTCCTAAAAATGTGGGATATACCACTATAGCGCTGTCACCTTCATATCTAAGAATGTTTTACTTTAGAATCAAAAACTTTATTTTAATAAAATTTTATGTTCTCGAATTTCATTCCGTTTTCGAGGGTTCAATGATTTTACAAAACTATACTACACAATCTAACATCTAATGTAACTTTATTATATTATCAATCAGCCGCCGCATTATGTTTTTACACTCGCGTGTTTTTATTTAATTAAAAACCCAGTTATCCCTTGCAAATGGGAAAATGATAATGCATGCACAAAACCGTAATATTATATAAAAGATAATAAAATATTTACAATTTAAACACTGACCATCATGAAAAAGGAATGCTCCATTCAGAAACTCCTCACCGAGGGTTAAAGGCGATCCAGGCCGCCTCAGAACGAGTGTTAATACGTTTTCAGAAGATATGAACGTTTGTTGTCCAAGAAATCTGAAGTAAACGAATATGGAAATTGAAAAAAACATAAGTTCTTTTAGAAGTGTAAACATCTATCTACTCTTAAAGGTGGAATTATCTACTCACTATGGCCCTCCAGTTCGGAACCGAACACAACCGTTTGATTTTCAAGTGCTTCCGAACGCGGAGGTATCACAAATCCTAATTCTACAAAATAAAAAGGGTAAGCAAGGACATATGTGCAACGATTTCACAAACATCAAAGTACTACGTCACAACACTTGGAAAGTGGACCCTACTTACAAAAAAATTAAGAGTAACTTTATGTCACAAATATTTACATACATTTTTTTATAAATCGTCTTTAAAGTTTAGGCCAAATTGACATTCTTCTTTCGATTTGCATCTACTTTCCATAGGAATGTAATTCTAGATCTAGACTATGAATAATCGTAACTACAGAGTAAAAGGAGCTTTAAAAGATAAGTTGCTATTTTATAAATATTATTTTTTTATAATTTGGTAGAAACTTTATATTTGTTTCTATTATTTAAATACATCACAGTGAGAGCAGACAGTGCACTTTTGTTTAGATGTTATTGATAATATCAATAAAATTCAATACGATTAATGTTCATATTCTTATCAAAAATAATCTATGTTAGAGTAAATAAAAAAATGAAGAATTAAAGGATTAAAGACATAAGGATGTATTATTAATTCTTGCCAAATACGAGAAAGCATGTCGTCCTGCATCAGTGGTTGTGGTGGTAACAATTAAACGCTGTCGAAACTGTGGCAGTTCTTTTAGCAAGGTCGCGCAATCCTGTACAGCCACCACAGAGAGTATTCACTAATGTTAAGAACATGAGATATGGATGACTAATTTCTATAAAACCAAGTCATTGACAGTGCCATATCCAACCCAACGGTGAATCAGATGTACACTGAGATAACGCTGAACTGTATATGATAATAGGGTAGTATCTTGACATGAAAAAGGTTCTTCAATGAGTCGAGTTTCCGGGCGTGACAACTCTTGTAGTCATTACACACTTACATGCTGTGCTTGTTATATTCCAAGAGTTGGTGGTGATACTCCCCCACTACACGGCCTACACGTCGGCTTGTGGAGGATTTCTATCCTCAAAGTTTCTCCCCAGACTAGCCTCCTGACTTGTGAGGAGGTGCAGTGAATACGAGTGCAAATGTGCCACAAAAGGAAAGGAAACGAGGATGAGAAAAGAAAAATCGAGCACCGTCCGTAACTCGTTTTTTAAGGTACTGCTCAAGTACCTTCACCTAGTGTTGCTCGAAGAAATAATGGAAAACTACCGAGCAAGGCAGTCAACACCAAACTTTCTTCTCCAAGCTGTGGTTGAATTCTATTCTGCCATCTAGCAATCGTGGGAAATCTTAGGGCGTCCCGGTCCTCGACACTACTGATGTAATGAATAAAAATAACGCATTATCTATTAGGGGGGAGTATTGCTGAAGCGTGAGAAGATAAAACGTGTTAGGTACAGTGACGTCATCAAAGAAGGATGGGCCGTGCATTTTCGTCTATGATATGGTGCACAAATGTTGATTTTGGGTGTTTATCGAACATTCTAAATAACGAACTATAAAATGTCTGTGTTCCACACACGCGTGATATAACGATTCGACATTTGTGCTAAGATGAAATATTAACTGTGAGACGTGAGATAAAATAAATATACGAGGCGTAAAAAAATTCTTCATTGTCCGTGATTGCTTGCGTATCTACACTGAATTGGTGACGAATAATCTTTTCGTTTGATGCATAACTTTGTCGTAATTTTGTGTTGGCGACCAATCGCCTACGAATACTACTTCATATGATTTTACTACAGTTGGAAAGATGTCTGGCATGGCACTGGGATTTTAGCGACGTTTTTGTGAAACTTCTTTGATTCTGTGAACGCATCTGACACATCTGCCGCTAGGTGCGGTTCGTTTACATGCATGAAAATAAATTAATTATTAACATAAGTTGTATAAATAAATGTATTTTTAGCAGCAAGTCTTACACTATTGACTTAGGCATTACCAATTGGCATTAGACTCTCTCTCCTGACCACTTCCAAAAATGTAATACAAAAGAAATGGAAGAGTATTAAAAAAGATGTATCCAATTTGGGAGAGGGATTCTCACAAATACGACAAAAGCAAAAATTAGAGTAGAGGGGGTTGAGATTGACGTAAGAATGTGATAGTATTGTTGTGATTACATCAACTTAGAGCTGAAACGAGTGTTTAAATTAATCAGAGAGTACTTTTAGTAATTAAATTAAAAATATCTATGATACTTAAAATTTCTACAAAATGATAAATAACTTTTTGTTAATTTTTTTTCTGTATCTCACGAAGTGAAGAGTGTGAAAAAATTTGAAATGGAACTTTGAACGCAAGTGAATATTAGCATCACAAGTTATTCAGGAATAAAATTGAAGAGAGAGAGAAAAAAAACCCCTGAAATATGGCGGAGATATTTTTCCGTCTCTTCAAACTGATGATACCAATGGTAGAAGTAATTCTGAGATGGTGTAAATTAAAAAACAAAATTTAAAAAAGCAAAACAAAACAAGAGCTGTAGTTGCTTTCTATTGGTGAGTGGAATATTTCGCTTGCATTGTTGTGATGGAAGATTCGCTTTCCCTGAAAAACAAGCCTTCTGATCACCCTTAGATACTCCTAACGGATCGCGGCAACAATATAATGCGCACGTTGTGGGAGTAACAGTTTAGGAGTTGCCCAATTTATTGTTGTCTTGTACATTCCAATAACTTTAATAATTTATTTTGTAATCAATAACTAAAATTGTTTCATTCCCTTCTATTTACTATGTGTTTTATTATAAGAGAAACAGTTTTTATGCAAAAAATGCATCAAAAAAGTCCTAATTATGTAAAACAAATTATGAAAAATAGTTACGATTACATGGCAACATTATCTTACATCTAGGAAAGCTTTTCAAGATATAAAATCTCAAACTACAAATTTTCAATAGACTCGCTAATTTTAACCACGCGCAGTGATAAAATGGTGACTCAATAATACTTCTAATGTTGTTTAAATGAAGAGTTTATAGTATTTTAAAACACTGTGATTAGTAGAAAAGGAAACCTGTTAATTAATTTATTATAGTTCTTTATTAGAGTAGTGCAGCTATACATATCTACATACAAGCGTCAATGAATAAACTACGCAATATAAAAGCAAAAATATCATATATGGTGCATTTGCAATGTGCAAAAAAATGGCGTGTTTTTCTGAACTCCATGGCTATTTGAATGCAAATTAGGTAAACTACAAGCTAGTACATTGTTCTTATTCCCTCAATTCTTTTTTTTAATTTTTTTTTATTTTTTATTTAAGGCCGCATCAACTACTAGGTCATTAGCGACCACTATTGCTTGTAACGGTGTGGCAACTGTGGGTTGACACGATAATGATAGTAGGGGGTGAAAGGACGAACACAATATAACCATGCCCGAGGCGGGACTCGAACCCGCGATCCTTCGGTCCGAGTTCGCTACGGCACTACTACTGCCTTAGCGATCTCGGCCACCGGATCGGCCTCAATTCTTATTATGTTCCACATTTTATTTTATACGTACTGCTAAGGAAACTGAACTGCGACGAATTTCTACTGCTACTGGTAATTGAACACTACTTTTGATGGCACAGGTTATTCAAAAAGCCGAAACAACAGAACTATATAAGTTGACAAAACACCATCGTCCCTAGCGGAGTGTGCTATTTGAATGATGTCTTATAATTAAGTAGGAACCTAAGCAAGATATAAATTCAGTGTCCCAAACTGGGCGTCCGTCCAGAAAAATTGCAATGAATTATTACGAATCACGTCAGTGTCACGTGTGAGGAGACACTGTGCTGTGATATAAAGACATGTAAACAGTCGCCGCTTGTTCACATGGAGGGAGGCGCAAGCACTGATCAGTAGCTTATCGATGTTGACGGAGCTTCATGCAATCATAATCAAACCAGTTAACGCATCGCTATGAACTGTCCATTTATGTTGTCTCCACGGTTCTCTTATGGTGCCATTGTAACAAAGACTTCCGATTCCAAATGCGTTAATACGTATTAAATCTTAGTTGAAAAGGTTTAGAATATGTTTCTTGTGGCGTCAACTTAGAAAGTTATTAGTCCCATAAGAGTAGTGAATATTTTATTGAGGGGGAAGGGGAGTACCTCTCCAGCTGAAAGGCGAGATTCGGTGCCATCTACACTTCGGCTAAGGAAGATTTCCCCATCCGGATATCTCCCACCAGCATTTAACGCCCCAAACAGGTACAAGTTAGTATTAGCTCTCGGCATGTGTGGAAGTGCATGTAAATGCGTGTATCGGAAAAGATGACGGATGAGGAAAGTAAAATCGTGTGTGGTCCGTGGAATTTTTGTAAAAACTGCTTCGGGTTTAGCCGAGGATTGAGAGGAAAACTACTGATCAGAGAAGCCTGTCGTGAGAACTATTCGTCAGTCAATGGTTGAATTTGACTGCGCTCTCAGTTAATTTTGCACCACCGTCAAGACTCAATCCTTATGACCTCCTAGTCAACAATGCTGTTAAAACAATGACGCCATAGAGCCTTCTCATTCGGCACAATCCACTCTTTTTTATTTTATATGTTACGCGCAGACGTGTGTCCCGGAAGCCCTTTTTGGAACAGTGTGCTTTAATACAAACGAAATGAAATAGTTGTGCAGAGTGCGAGTTTACCTCACCTGCCGCCAGGGTCGCGCGCGAATCTCGCCAGAGGGCTGCATAGTTGGTGGCGAGGCTTTCCCGTCCCGGCGAGTCCGTCGTAAATCTCCACCACCGTCTCACACGACGGCGCCCTGTAATGCAAGATCAGTCCACCTGCAGACGTCCAACCGTCATTGCGCAGCAACCGTCAAAGAACGTTGGACGTAAAGCGACAAGATCGCCCTGAATGATTTAAAACACCCTACAGTCGGGACTGGTTAAGTGGCATTTCAAGAGGAAAACTATTTATTCTCACTTAAAGAGGTGTATATTAATATAAACGTTTTTCCCTTACTCAAGTTTAAAACGTGTTCGTGTCTGCATTATAGACGATTTCATTGTGAAGAATTGAACCATTCTTTGTTTCAGTTACAAAGGTAAATGTGCAACAAAAATTAAAAACTTTTATAAGAACATGTGTGATTTTGAGTGTGAAATGGGTAAGCATTGTTACATTCGTTTTTATATCATTACGTCCTCTTATCTCTAACAAAACGGCAAGTAAAATAATATACAAAAGAATCAATTGTTGTACATAAAATGCCCTTATAAAGTTCTTTGCATATTTGGTCTTTCTCATATTCACAGTACTTTCACTTCCTAGAAACGAATTTAACTTTGCCGGTTTGGGGATGAAAGCTCCAGAATAACATTGCAAACTTGAATATGTGCAATGCACAATTTACAACCTATTTTTCTACCAAAATACTTCTCTTTAAAATATACGATGAGACACTGGAACTCTCCTTTTATAGTTGATACCAAAATTAATCACATGAAGTTTGAAAGGATCCGTTAATCGGCATAACGCTTTTTTCACATCGTCTGGCTAATGTGTGAGTTAACCGGCTACTTCTCACGTTAGTCTTATTTCGGACTGCAGATGTGGCATAGATACAATTGAGAACTGCCTATATATACAACTATCCTAAAACGGTTGATATATACAACTAAAAAAGGTTCTCATTCGAATCTCGTAAAAGGCGTGGGTGTTGCATCGTGGTGTGGAGTAAAGGCATATAAGTTCAGCTCTCACGCATTCAGAATAGTCATAACACGGAGGTGCGGCATTAATTATACTTACGGTATAATGCTGTTTTCAGCTTTCCAACTATATTATTGCGGTATATATGTCATTAATCAACTATGAGTTTGCAATATATAGTGCATACAGTGGTTCTCATTTATTTTCGCTATTTAATTACAATTAATTTGATCGTCAAAAGGTAATAAATTTAAAAAAATGAATATTTTGTTTCACACTTTATATTATTAGAAAACTATAAAGTTGTGCATCACTGAAGATTTGAAATCGACTTTTTTATCCACTCGAATAAACAATACAATTTGCTAATCCAGTACATGATATTTCGGCAATGTTTTTTATTCTGCTTTAATATATTAAAACAAAACAAAAAATTAAGGAATTTTGAAAACACAATTTACTCACCTCAGCTGATAGCTAAACAGAGATAAATGAACTACATCAGAGGAACGTCCAATAAACTTCATCGTGCAATTAGGACTCCAAGGTTTATTTTTCGTATCAAAGTGACCCGAACGTGAAACATTTCCAAGAAATATTTGATCGCATTTTATTCGGGTAATGCGGGGTAAGATGGTGGTAGGAGCTGAAACAGTAAGGGAAAAATGTTACAACGTACAATGTTTACAAATACACTAAAAATAATGCAATCTCTAGTTATGTTCATTTTTTTTGAAAGTGACATTCTTTACACTACTTAAAATGTTTGTGAATTTCATTAATTGTCAAAACGAGTAGTTGACATACAAACGTCAGCAATTTTTCGCGCTGCTTCTCGAGATTTCATCACATCACCTGAAATAAAACAAATAGAGATACATTCTTTGTATTAATGGCTTCATAATTCGGGTGGAATCTGTATAAAATTTAAAAACACTACTTCTTTACAAGAATTAGAAATTGCCAGAGGTACAGGGTTATAGCAGCTATCACAATTAATTTCGAGAAAAAATGTTATGATTATCTTCATGTTGTTCCATTACTTGTAACCAAACTAACATTTAATAACTATAAATTTTGCCTACGAATACTGACAATTGTCCTAATCTTCATATATTTTCGTGTTTTCAGGTAGACTAATTATGATGTCACAATGAAGTATAAGGAGTAGTTATTTTTAAACATTCACGTGATGAATAGCATTACTTTTAATAGCTTACAAAATATATTCAATGGCGTACGATATAATATAACATTATACATTGAGGAGCACTTTAAAACTGATGTTTAGATTGCTTATATATTGCAACGGTATCTCCTTTACAAAGTTGCTACCCAATTACGAGTATTGTAACCATTTTAAAGAAACTTAAAGAAATAATATTGTGAAAAATACTAAAACATTTGATGGATTACTATTTTTAGATAGTGATTTTAAAAGCGAAAAATACTCACTCATAATTCTTGGCACTGTTGGGTTCAGAATTGGTGTAGTTGATGGTTCTGTGCTCGTAGTAGGTTCTATAAACTCAAGTGTAGCCAGAAATCCATTGTAATCATATGGCGGAACTGCAGGACCTGAACTGAAAGGAACTGAAGTGAAGTGGGAGACAAAATGAACATATTTCTATTGATAAATGAATTGAACTTTGTTAGATTGTTTTCGATGGGTCAGTGCAATTCTTAAAATGTCCCCTTTTAGAAGAAGAAATAGAAAATTTAGCACAAGTTGTTACTTAATTGCTATTAATGGAGAGCCATTTATTAGTTTTTGTAATTTTTGTGAGATAACATGTCATAATGTGTTGTTTTAAAACATTTTTAAAAAGGTTATCAAATACACCCTCCGGTTTCTTGTTTAATACGATACTTTTAATAATTTTCCTTCACCTGAATTCCACAAGTAGTTCGGGACCTGGGTACGTTATTTCTGTGTTTCGACTTCCGCATATGGTTTTCAATAATGAACTATTGTACGGGGCTGATCCTTGATAAATGGCGATATTGTGGGACCGGCAGTGTCTGAAATACAGAGAAATACAGTTAGTACCAAAGTCCCTTAAACAGTGTGCTGGAGATCTAAGTATACAAAACTGAAGTTGCTTTTGATATGGTTTTTTGTTCATTATTGAGTTACTTTTTACCTGTGTTAGCCTAGAGAACAATATGAAGAGGCAGAGAGATTGAGAATAGCTGATAAGCCCAAGGAAGAAATAAGGCGCTGATTGGCTCAAAATATAATGTAAGTAGATAAGGAACAATCGTTTTAAAGGAGAGGTATCAGAGTAATATCATGGAATTGTATTATCGATTATGCAATGGCCATCAGAGTCCGAAAGAAGGCAGACAAGAAAGCTGAGAGAAAATGGAAGCTATGCTGTAAAGAAGCAACAATAACAATGATTTTGATATTTTCGAAAATTATAAGCTGAAAGTTAACAAATAAATATCTCACGTGTAAGGCAGAAGAGAGGTAATATTTATGTGCACCATTGTCTGGATGGAGCTAGTTGCTATGTAGTATTTGCAGCGTCGCATTGGAGGATACAAGCCTGGGTAACCAGGACTCGCAAATACACAGTAGCCAGGTGTTCGGCAGAGATATTCTTGGAACATCCAATCACACTCTGAAAATATGCATTAATAGAAAGTGCAAAACGTATAAACGTTAAAGCAGTTAATATTGAAAATAATGTGGAAAGAAGTAATAGTAATAATAATTCAGAATAAAGCCAAAAGAGCGAGATATTACCTAAAAATATGAATGTACCTGTATCTTTCACGTGATGTCCTCCCCTAACCCTGAATGCAACATCTCCTGCACTACTTATAGAAGTGAAACTGAAGTATGCAAGAAACTGCGATCTGTGCGTTTTTTCATTGATTCTGAAAGAAAAATCTGTTTGTAATTAAATATATCAAATTATCTACAAGATAATAATTGAAATTAGATATATTTTTGTAGAAAAATTACATTTTTATCGATTTGTTTGTTAACCTGAAAAATAACGTATCTAAAATGAACGAATAGTGCAAACTGATAAAACTACTTCACTTAGCAGCCATTATTAAATGAATTTAGTGTAACATATCTTCATCGCGGTGTCAACTCACAAAAATAAAAGAGAAGCAGTCCCTCTGTCCGAAAACATTACGACTGGCGGAGTGAAACGTTCGTTGCCTCCGCAAATTTGAATCTCTGAAGAACTCGGAATGAGATCTGGATCACCAACCAGTTGCAAGAAACCACCTTCGCAACTGTAAAAGGAAACATGTTGATTTAAAAAACAAATACTATACCTTCAGTGAAAATAATAACAAGAAACAGAATTCACTCAGCATTTTAAATATTGACTTATTAGCTGATGTTAAATTTATCAAATAATATAATAACTAATATATCTATCTCGTCAGTTTATCGAGTGGTTCGATATTTTGTTTCCGTTCTCATTATTTTATAATATAAACTGAGTATTCTCATCTTCCGTCTATTGCTTCTGTCATTAAATTTCGCCCCTAATTTAAGATAGTAAAGAATAGCTCGGGGCGTAAAAGCTCCAACTCTACTGTTTCCCGATGAAATGTGGCGTATGTTCAGTGTGTGTAGAGTATTATGATGGCCCAATGCAAATGATTTATGAATGCTTAACTCAGTGACCATCAGTGCAATAATCCGAATCGCATCTCTCTCCAAGCCGGTGGACTGAAGCCGATGGGATTTGAATGTAAAACGGGAGTTCGTACGCTCTAATTCTGGTGTATCGTGCTTTATTCATATCCTAATTTTAAATGATAATTCTTTTCAAAAATCAGTAAACTTACGCCAGCTAATTATCCATTATGATATTTACATTGAATAAAACAAGTTTAGTATGTAGTTTGTTTATAATAAAAAATTAAATGTGATGAGAAAAAAGCAATGGTATAATAATAAAAATATTGCAAACCTCGATGCCACGGGAGCGTCATAACTACCTCGATAGTAAGATAATAGTTTCGAGTACCGTCTTCCACCTGCAGTTTTCTATCCATTCCTTATCCAGTTCAGTAATTTTTTGTACATCTAAATTCGCTATTAATATTTACAATCATCGTTCTGATCTTGTAATCAATTTCTAACATCTCGAAAATTTGCAAATACCCGTCATATGTGATTGGAAGCATTGTACGAGTCTCAGTACTACGAAGTCAACTTGTTACATGGCCTCACGTTCAGAATAATTGAAAGAAAAAAATGTGACTGTATTCTGATTTCCAGAATAATATACGAGTAACTGAAATGAATGGAAGAAATATCGCCGAGATTATGTTTATAAATTCAAAACTGCCGTTAGCTCCTAATGTAACACAGTGAAAATACGTTTTGAACAAACTACAACTAATTGGCTAATTGTCCTATTGGGCAAAACCTATAAGATTATACAACAAATTAAATTTCAGAGGTATTTTAAAAACTTTACACTATATTCTTGTAAGTAGAGAAAATATTAGGATTTCCCTACACACAAAGCTGCTGTAAATTTACATTCACAAGTCAAATATTTCAAAAGGGGCATGATGGATTATTGGTGAAATAGAAACAATTGCCTATTTTCCCTACCAATATTGTATTTTCCGTGACACTTTGCAGTTAGTGTAAAATATTTTAACCTTTTTTGCGAATTTCTTAACAACAAATTCAGAAAAAATGCTACTTAATTACTCTAAAAGTATGTTATATTTTAAAAGCTGTACGACCGATAAACCTTAGACGTGTTTTTCGTACCCCCCTGACCATTACATCTTCGATTTATTTCCGTGTGAAATATCCAATACCTACTACGTCACATAGAAGCATCAGCATACAACCACTTAGCTTGCGGAACACATTATCTATGTAGGAATGCATAACTAAACGTCTTTTTGTATTTCTTTCTACTGACACGTTACACTATGTTTAAACACAGAGAATCAGGTACAAGACACCTGCATTTCAAATCTCTGTATTTACTCTATTACCCGCATCTCCATATTACATTCCACTTCCAACAATCGAGAATTCATTCGGAATAACACTCCTTGTTCCCTACAACTCCTTCACACGTCATAAACTACATATCACTCGCCCTCATAAGCTGTGGGGAACTGACAGGTCAGGAAGAAATACGATATCAAATTATCAACTTATGTCATAGCCTCCAATTCCCAAAGGCACAGCACGATGTCACTGGCCACGTGGCATGCGCAAAGCACATTTACGAAGGCGTGATATGGCATAACGACGTGCCTCCCCAGCCATATCCGACTGCTGCAGGAGCTAGCAGAAGGCAGGGCGCTTCAGCGACGGAGACTTGATCTGCCCTCACCCAACCACATGCCACCCGTCCCTGGTGCCGTTGAGATCGGCCGGCGCCTCACCAGGCGGATAGACCTGCACCTCCACGCGCTTGGTCCGCGTTCGCTGCAGGGCAGGACCAGCAGCAGAAGGCGGGGGCCTGCCAGCGACGGACTGTGATCTGCCCTTCACTACTCCAACCACAGCCCACCCCGGCTCACCTGGTGCGTTGAATGCGGCCGGCGCTCAGCAGGCGGTAGACCTGCACCTATGCGCTGGCGCGACGTCCGCTGCAGCAGGAACAGCAGAAGGCGGGCCCTCACGACGGGGACTTGATCTGCCCTCAGCACCATCCACACGCTCCCACCCGCTCACTGGTTGCGCGTTGAATCGGCGACGCTCACAGGCGGTAAACTGCACCTCCACGCGCTGGGCCGACGTCCGGCTGCCAGAGCAGGAACCAGCAGAGCCGGGGCCCTCCAGTCGACGGGGACTTGAATCATGCCTCACCAACTACACGCCCCACCTCGCGATCGCCTCACCTGCGTTGAGAGGGTCGGCGCAGCTCGACGATCAGGGCTGATACGTGAAGACATGCACACTCGCACTGACGCTGGCCGACGTCACCGGACTGCAGCCTCACCGGGCGGCGAGACGGGCGCAAGCAAGGACCGCGAGGCCCTCCAGCGACGGGACTTGATCTGCCCTCACCCAACCTACGTACCGCGGCCCAGGCCCGCTCACGTGGTGCGTTGAATCGGCCGGCGCTCACAGGCGGTAGACCTGCACCTCCACGCGCTGCGGAGTCCGGCTGCAAGCGGAATCGAGCAGAAGAGGCGGGGCCTCCAGTGACGGGGATTTGAATCTGCCCAAACGTCTTGCCCGAGCGTGAAGCCAGGAAGCGAGAGTCCAACGTCACGTTGCACACTGCGGTAGGTAATATTCTTCACCCTCTTGCTAATCAGACCAATCTGGCAAGAGGCACTCTCAAAGTTGAACATTCAAAATTGCTTCAATATTCAAATTGAGAAAAGTAGGTGCTACAAATTTAGTTGCAACAGTTTTCAGGACCTTGTTGCTCTTTAATGCGGAGTAGACTGGCAATAGTACCCGTAAGTCTGTAATTACACACGTTATACTGGAGTTGCATTTAAATTCCAGTGTCTTCTGCTCCGTTCTTAAAGATACAGACAAGTCAAAAATATTATTTTTATACTACCAATTCTAAAATGTAGAATTTTACAACTGTATATTTCACAACCCAGTTTTCGAGTTTTGAACATTACTCAGTAAATTTTGTAGTAAATTGAAATGTTGAACTTTGAGAATGTTTCTTGTTAGATCAGCTTCAAAAATATATTCTGTCACATTTTCCAAAAATAATACTGACTTAACCTTTAATAGTTCATAAAATTAGTAACAAAAACATTTTAAATTAAGATTTTAAAAACAGTTTTTAAAATTATATCTACAGTTAAGACAAACCATAAAATCAAAGGAAGAGTTTACTACGTTTTTAAGAAATAACGGGAGAATTCACAAGCAAATCGCAGAGAAAGAAAATAATAGCAGCCATAATACAAATCAGACAAACAAGTGTCAGTAATTAAGATATCAAGTTGTGTTTAGAATAGAAAGTATCCTGAGAAACTCACTTCGGCCACAATGTTGTTCCAGACCGCATTGGATGCACCGATTTGGCATGTGTTTGCCACACTGGCAACCGCCATCTTGGACACAGCACGCACAATCTTCGCGCGCTGGATCGAAATTACACGGGCAGCCCTGAGCTTCCTGCGTCCACAAATCTACTTGATCTATAAAAGAAGTAGAATATGTGTCAATCTCGAGAAGGAACACGGCACGAGTAACTAGTATTAGTAGTAAATAGTAAAACATAGGTCGGGCGCGATCCTTGGTACATCCCCCCTGTTCCGAAGGGAGCTCCATCATCCAGAGTCTACCTTTTCAGATATCAACAATCGGATCGTATTACACTGTTTGTGGGTCTTCGCTGAACTCACCAACACGAGTAGGCTCGCGCGAGTTACCTTGGACATTAACTTCGGGAGCAAAGTGTAATGGCAGGCGGTTCTACGTGCAACAAAGCGAGTGCGAAAGACGATAGCTGTCGGTGGATTTTGATTGAAATTGAGAATGATTACAAATTGTCTGTTAAATAACTGGCTTTTTGTAGACAAAGAATAACCGGTGCTCGAAGATTGAGGAAATTATCCTTACTGTTACCGAGAAGAAGAATGACACTTGGATTCACGAAGCAATGATAATGTATTTATTTGTGCTCAGTTAGAGTTTAGTGAAACCTGTCAGCATGGACCCAGTGCCCAGAAGCAGAGGCTGGCGTTGTATTGCTAAATTCGAAAACTAGAGATTGATCTTTAATGTTATAGTATATTTGCTCAAAATGGTGGGTAGGATTTCACATAAGTTACCTTCATTAGGGTCAGAAAGTAAAAATGACTTACTATTCAAGTATCTCGACAATAATTTCACGTAAGGCTCACGTAAAAATACAAGAACAAGGTGCTATTAAAAAAAATTCCATTCGAATGCCTCCCTTTTATAACCGTTCCTGCAATTGAAAAAGGAAAACCACACTTCAATTCTGAACAATATTCGCAATTCAGGAACCAAAAGTACAGCTAATCATATAAAAATATAGATCAGACGCTACGTAAAATTTCAATAACTGAACATTTCAAGGTTGATCATTAAGTTAAATAAAGAAATAATAGGTGGCATTCATGCAGCTAAGTTAGTTTTGAGTTACTGATTATTCTTCAAAAAATGTTTTTAATTTAAGAAATACATTTTTGGCATCGGTGCCATGTTTTGATTTCACCTTAACTAATTTGTAACGATTCTTCTGCTGTCCTACGGCTGTTGCCTCTATACCATATATTACAATATTGATGCTTTTACAAATAATAACTATTAAGATACTTTTAAGATTAAGATTTACAATTAATTATATATTTATTTTGTTTTGAGAAATATTCCTCTCAAATATCAATCGTGTTTTGAAATTTACAGATATTGCCTTTGATACAACATTCCACAGAACAAACCTGAAGAGATGAATCTAAACAAATTCATACTCAAATATGAAAACACGTTTGTCCATTTGGCAAACATGAACATTTAAGGCCCCCATGCAATTTAATTTATCTTACATTCTTTACAACACATTGGAGAAACCACATCTCTTTAAACAAACCATTCCCCCTACGATTGTTGGTACGTCTGAAACGCCTCGCGAAGTTTGCCGTTCGAAGCCGATAATACGCGGCGCGGTCTGAACAAAGTAAAGCGCTCATAACAAGGCCCTGTCACGCGCCATCGTAGCGATTTATCGACTCTCGATGCGGCAGAGATGGGCCTATCGATCGCGGATATGACCCAATTAGTTGTGCGTAACACAGAGAATGCGAGACGCCGCGGGCCGTGATGTTCATTGCGCACACAGACGCGCTCTGCCGCCAACGAGAGCAAACAGATCTCGATTTATGCATCGCTCGAATACGCTCGGCTGCATGCGCCAAACTTTGAGGGACGCTGTGAACGAACTATATTGTATGGTTATTATCTAAAGAGATGATTACATTAGAAGATATATGTAATGTTCTCTCAATTAGCTCATATTCAAACGCCAAATTTTGAGGGATGCTGTGAACGAACTATATTGTGTGGTTATTTTCTCAAGAGATAAATTTATTAGAAGATAAATGTAATGTTCTCTCAATATAATCTTATATAACCTCGTGTTCAAGGGCAAAAATTTTGATGGATGCTGTGAACGAATTATATTGTATGGTTATTTTCTAAAGAGATGATTTTATTAGAAGATAAATGTAATGTTATCTCAATACAATCTTATACAACCTCATGTTCAAGCGCCAAATTTTGATGGATGCTGTGAACGAACTATATTGTATAGTTATTTGAGTTTTTACTTGACCATTCGTGCCTAGAGACACTGCTGAGATACTATTAATATGTTTTGACACCAACAATTTAAATAACCTTTCTGTAAACAGTACAATAGTTCACATTATTTGTTATTAATAAAACTTATAATATCTAAGTAAACTGACATTCTTCACAATTCAATTTACCTCATTACAATTCAGACGTCCCAGTTTCCTCGGATTATCGTATCTCACCTTAATGAAAGCTAAAATTATTTCCTCTCTTTCTCGGTTTCAACTGCTTCGTAAATATTCCCTCTCGCAAACACTACTGTTTCGTGATGCGACCTAAATCAAGTTACATTCTGGAGAAGACCTAGTCGTCAACGACTCCCTCAACAACAACTGAACATTACTCATCGCAGATGAGCTCGCCAAGACACCATTCTCTGAGGATATAACTTCTCTGAATTACACTACTGGAATGCACGAACAACATGCAAAGTTTCAGGGTTCGTGATACTACAACAAATTAAATTTCCTCAATGATATTTCCAACACAAGTGTCCTGATCCTAGAAGATTCGGCATCGATTTCTGGTAGTAGTGGCATATTGTTGAACAAATATAATTATTATTAAAATAAATTTGTTACCAGTAACAATGCCACATCAAGTAAATATTTACTGTGCGGTGCATATTTTAGACTTAATTACCTCTCCAATAAGGTGTCAGGGTGGAACATTTGGAAACAAGTAAATCTATAAAACTATTGTTGTCCTTTGCACATTTAAACGCCACCGCTACGCCTACTCGACTTCTCGGACTTAGGGCCGGTTTCACCAAACAAAGAGTAAGAGTTTACTCGGAGTAAATTCATGTTTACTCGAGAGTAACTTCTTGGAGCGTTTCACCAACACTTTACTCGATGGAAATCGCTTACACGAGAGTAAATTCGAGAGTAACTTTACACCGAAAATCCGTCGGGAAAAGTACGGAGTAAATTCAGTTTCAACGTGCATGTACCTCCGAAGTGTTGTTACGGTTCGACGATTATAAAATGATAGTATTGTAGACGTTTCCAGCAATATATGGAGAAAAATTATAACCTATCAGTCGACAGGGTGCGAGAGATAATGGATTGGTTTTAATTATGACGATCGAGATTTTGTCATGAGGTTATGTTTGACCAAATCAGCCAAATTAACTTCATCAGATACATAAACTGTAGAGAACTTTAAAGTTATTTTTCTCCCATGTGGATACGAAATAAAGTAGTACGTACCGAATACGCAACAAAGGAAAAATAATAACTACAGGAACTACAAGTACTAAGAAATATTCATTTATTTATTCAGTGAAAACTGTATGTGACGTATGGGGGAGATCATTTGCCCACGTTTTTCTTGAGTTCCAGAATCCCTTTCCAACATTTTAACTACAAATAGTTGAAAGGTGAATAAAAGTTAAAAAATAATAAAACAACAAATAATAATAAAATTTAGAAAAACACGAGATCAGCAAATTTTAGAAACTAAAATTTTCGTTCCTAGTTATAGAAAATTAATTTGCACCGCCATCGGTAAACGAACTGCAAATTTGATTTTCTGCATTGCTTACAAATAGTAACTCGTCCCAGAGAAGAAGAATGAATATTTATTAAGAATAAAGATACAGAAACTAGGAAATAATCTATGCTAACTCAAACCACCATAACACCACACCAGATTATAACGCCAAGAACTCCGAAACTGAAATGAAATATAGAATATAAGAGATTAATCAAAGGTTTCGCGTTGTCCGCATTGGTTCCCAGCGTCATTCTCGCTCACAGCCTCTTGAATCACTCTCAAATATTGTGTGTTCAGCTGATTTGCGAAGTAAATCGGAGAGTATGTACTTAGAGTAAAATAACCTCTAGAAGCATGGTGAAACGCTCATATTCTACTCGAGAGTACTATCTTGGAGAAATGGTACTCTCGGGTAACTACTCTCAACTTTACTCGGCTGTTGGTGAAACCGGCCCTTAATGGACTTGTCTACATTTTACTACTCCAACGAGGCGGCTTGCTCGTTGAACAGTTTCTTTTCGTTATCTCCTCTTTCTCACGACGCTGTAGCTCGTTCTTTCAGCAGCAATTGTCTACATATCCCTCTTCTGTTTTCGTGTAATTACCAAATGAGTCCCAGTTTAACCCGTAACGAAAATAGTTTCTAATATAGTTTTACATTTACTTTACAAGAGTTTCCACCATAAAAAGTCATAAAGTATTTGTAATAATCGGTCGCCTTATTAACAAATCATGACGAGAATGCGTACTGATGTTCCGAGCAAGATATATTTAAATATTTTTCGAATTATGTTTTGCTGCAGCAGCGATCTAGTAAACCATAAAGTTTTGCATACGCCATGGATGTTACTTGATGTTTCAGCCCCTCAAGCGTCTGCCCTGATAGAATGGGGAAATATTTTGCTGATAGTGAGTAGTGAAATCAAGCAAAGGAAGTTTAATAGACAAATAATGTTAAAAATGCGACGTACGGTGAAGTATAAATGAAGTTACAATTATGTGAGTGTAAAGAGAAGATTCGCAACGTGAAAGACGGTGAATAGAGTGTGGGCGAGGAAGAAACAAATGTAAATCCTGAAGCCGAAAAAAGTATGAAATAAAGAGCAAAAGAAGTCGGTGATGCGCCAAAATTAAAAACGACAGTTTGATGTTGAGTTTTATCTCCACATTCTAATATTTGAGTTCGGGGAAGGTTATTACATGTCCGTATGCTGTGAGGTAAAATTGTACAAAATATTATTTTCATCCATAAGATTGCAGTAAAAGGGCGTGAATGTGAAAGACATTAAAGTAATTAAAAATAAAACGTGGGAATGAT